TATATTTTTTAACAATGAAGATAGAAATTATAAAATTTATATTAAAAACATTACTTTATTTAATATTTTTATATATAATATCAAGTTTGCGATTTGATGATGGTAATTAATTATGACTATCTATCTCTAATGCACCTTGATTCAAATATCTGCGTTTATCAGATATGAATACACGATATAAAAGTTGCCCGTCTCTAAATTATGATTTTACGCACCCATGAATCTGAAAATGTAACGTCAACATTAATGTGAGATTGATGCTGGCTCAATGGATGACACATTGCACGTATGTACACATGTTTCACGTGAGCAATATCCCTTGCTCAAATGATCGTGAATCCGTTGCTCTATATACTGTTGCATTCACCACACTGATAAATTATGATGAAAAAATTATCCATTGATAATTCCGTATAGAAATTTTGTCGTGGATTCAGTAGTCCGGATAGAGTCAAATCAGGGTCAAATTAGAAGATTTCAATCAGGGCCTGGAGAGGGATTAGGAGTAACATTATTGCTGTAATAGCAACATAAAATTTATGTCAAATTGCTCATGCTGCTTTGCTCAATTAACAGTGAGCGACAAAATAGTTGAAAGATTTCATGCTACATAACTATTTCAATTGTTAAATCATTTACACAGTGGCAAGATAAAATCGAATTAATTGTTAAAAATTTTCATTATGTAATGAAATATAATTATTTCTTGCGAAGCAATATTGCAAATAATATTAATTAAAATATCAATTTTATTTTTTAGAAGAAAAAATTGAAACGAAATAGAAAATTAAGTAAAATATTTGTAATTAAAGGTGACCTTTTTTCATAAGGGTATAAAAATTTAAATTCAAGCTTCAATTTCAGGATTATAAAAGGAGGAGAGCATCACTACATTAGTACACATGCCAGTCTCTTTCTGTTTTATGACTCCATTAGTGGTGTCCTGTAGTTACTGCCATTTACCTCAATTTGAGCTGTTCCTATTTTTCCTTTCTAAAATTTCCATTCATTTTTTACAAAAATGTACTTATAATAGTTTTTTATTTTTACTCCGTTATTTTTTATAGTGTAATTTCATTTACATATATATATTATGCTGTTCGGAAAAATTTTTCTATACCGTGAAAAAAGTTTTAAAATATAGTAGGAAAAAGGAAAATTAATATTGAACAAGTTTCTTATGATCCGCAATTTAGTTTAACGAAATTGAGAATTTTCTTTAAAAAATTAAATTATCATTTTAATATAAATCAACTTGCCAAAGTCGTCAGATTAATAGTCAATCTGTAATAAAATAAATATCAGTTCTGATTTGTCCTTTTGTTTTGTATGATAACGAGGCGGCTGAATAGCGACGCTTTCGAGTTTGACTGGTCTGCCAGTTTACTCTCATTCTCATCTTAGTGTTCGTAGAGTCAAGTTGTGTTCTATTCTTTTTCGTGTAAAATAAAATTAAAATTTAAAATTATAAAAAGGAGACGAGGCTTCGTCGTCAAGTGGACGGTGAGTCCCAATAAATTAATTGGGAGTCGTTTCTTTCAGAATTGATCTCATTATTATTAAAGTATAATTGAATAAAAATATATAAATATTGTATTTCGGCCTACTGACAATTTCTTGACTTTTTCCAACTTCTGAAGTGAATTAAGGTAACAATAGAACTTCTGAGCTGGTTTTTCCTATGTAAAATTATAAACTTTTACTTTGTCAGGTTTCAGTATAACGTATCTGTTCGTGTAAATACATATATGAACAAGAGACTGAAATGTAGGTGTGACGAAAATTTGGAAATTAGAATCATTTTCGTATTATTGATGGCTTGGCTATTTGCTTGTTTGGTTTACAGCTTATCACTCAGCCCGAACCATTAAATATTAATTGACATGGAACGGTAGTAATTAATCATGCGACATGTCAATATCTGATATGTTAATTTTTTAAAATAACGTTGCTCTAAGTATATTGTTAGATCATTGAATGAAATTATAAAAAAAATTCACCTAAACAATTTAAATAAATAAATATCTATCCAACAATGATAGAAACAATAATAATAAATTCTATGACGTTATTTAATTAATTTACCAATTAATTGGATCTAAATTGATGAATTAAATTCTAAGAGACAATATGAAATTTCTGGATATTTTAACTGAAAAATAATGTAATTATTTAACTGTTTACATACTAATTTTCCTTTTAACAAAATGTGAAAGGTTCACATGAAATTTTAAATTATTGTTTAATTTTCAACAATGTACCTATAATTACTACATCCATGTGAGTGTATTAATTTCACAAGAGTATGTCAAAATTTTCAATAAATGAAGCTTTATATTTGAATTATACTTTTTAGAAGAATTGCCTTTTGTAATTCTTAACATTATTTAATTACTCATTTGTTAATTAAATTTTATTAAAGTTAAATTAAAAAATGTTAATATTGTATAATATATTAATTTTTGATCATATTTCAAATGAAGATTTTTTAACACCTTATTATCTCGATAACAGCAGAGAAACTGTTTGAAGTGTCCAAACGACCATATATAAGCGTAAAAAATTATTTCAGTCTGTCTGGATATGTGACTCCATTATGCACTCTATGTCAAATGCAGGGACATTGTTTTTTTGTTTTGGACACTTTTAAAGAAAAATTAGATGACCTGAAGCAATTGCAATATACTGAATATTCTTTTCAGAATTCGTAATATGGAATAATTTTTATCATTATTTAATTTATATAACTAAAATTGAAAAACATTTGGAATTAATATGAAATATAAAACCAACCATGTTAAATGAATTTGGATGTGTTTGTTAAGTATGTTAACAAATCTTTCTCAAACATGCATACAATAAATAAATATGAATTAATTAATTATGTATAATTACATAAAAATGTAAATAAATGAATTATATTTGGCTGCATTATATAATTAAACATAATTTGTTATAATTTTTATTCACTTAAATTAATTATTAAGAAAATTATGACAACGGAATACTACGATCGATTGAGATCAATTTTGGATGATCATAGCGAATACGATAATTCACTGTCACTAACCACCTGACTTAAGCGCCACAATTTGTACTTGTACTACAATCCAAGATGGCCGCTATGTCTCACGTCCCTCTCGTCTATTCAATTGATGATTTGGCTGATTATCAAGTTAATGGTCGACTATTTTCCTAGTCTGCAGTTTATGATTAATGAGAATTTTGAAAAGTTATATGACATTTCTCAGCGTACGCAGGACTTAGATCTTAGAGTTTCGAAAATAACTGACGAGAACGTCATTCTTCAGAAGCACATGAAGATTGTTCAGAATGAACAGAGATAGATCAGCTTTTGAAGAAGGCTGAAAGCAGTGTGAGGACTTGTTGCTGATTTATCGGAAATTGATAAAGAAAACTTAAATCAAATACCTATGATAGTTTCTGTCTTAATAATCTTCAATAATTAGTATTAAAATTTCAATAAAAATTGTATGATAACAAAAATTAAAGTTTTTAATTTCAATTACTGATTACAAATTTAATCTGTTAAGATGAAAATAGAGGTGAAAAACTGACCTAGTCGTCAGTGGGACTCAACAAGCTTGGAGACCAGTTCTCATGCTTCGTAGGCGTGGCACTCCCTTTGGTCCACTGGAAGCTGCGTGTTGCATGGGTCAGAAAGGAAAGAGAGAAAGAGAGAGTGAAAAAGAAGAGGAGAGCAAAGAGTAGGAGAAGAGAAGACAAAATGCAGGATGAGTAAAAAGACGATTAGAGGACGCGCTTAGAAGACAGAGACGTATAAATACGGCTCCAAAGACGAAAAAGGAAAAGCGGACAGAAAAGCCCGTTAGATCAGGAGTGAAAATGAACAGAGCTTTCGGTGAGATAAAGCAGGGGGGAATGAGGGTGTGTGTGTATGAGAGACGGTAGATTGCGAACGAAAGCTCCACTCGGCGGACGAAAGAGGAAACGAGAGAGGGAGCGAAAGAGCAACGCACCACCAGGAGCAAAAGAGCGCGGGAGATATTGCCGTTGGTGTGGATGGAAAATCTAAAACTTCGGAGCTTGCGGATGACGAAGATGGCGCCATCGGGAGTGAGCGAGACGAAAATCCAACGGTATTCAGTCACCGCCCGATCATCGGCGCGCACGGTTTCAAACTACTCTTCTCATTTCTTCAACGCCGAATATTATCGATATTTAACCGCGATAACACCCATAAAAAATAATCTTTCTTTAAAAAAAAAATATGTGCTTGTTTATCCACTGCATTTTTCAAGTGATGCCATCCTTTTTCGATTTGACACAAATTTATTTAAATAATTAAACGAAAGGAATTTGTATCATTTCTTCATGATTAAAATTTTTTTTGCAATTTGTGGAATTTAGGTAACTTTTTGTTATTAACGGAAAGCTACTAATTAAAAAATTATTTACTCATTTAAAAATTACTTTTTGTAATTTCAGTTAAAAAAATTTTTATTTGAAAAAGTTACTTTTTCTAATTAAACAAAAAAATTTGTTATTGATGTTTTTGTGTAATTCAGTTTTGATATTTCTTATTTGTAACTTAATTTTTGTAAAGTTTTTTGTAATTTTAGAAAATTTCACTTTCAAATTAAACTAGTCGAGAGACGGGCGTAACGGACCACTTGAATTTGGAATGATATAACTTTTTTTTGGAAAAAATAATCTGAAATTTTCTTAAACAGCCCTCCCCCTACCCTTCCTCTATTCCTTCTTACTCTTTATATTACGCTTGAGTCAGGGATTATACTTTCATAAAATCTAAAAAAGAAAATGGAAAAAAATTTAAATTTATTCAATGTGATGAAGAATTTATCTTGAGAATGATTTTTGGTAGCCTCATAAAAAGGGTGGTCAAAATAGAGTGATTTTAAAGTTTATTGCTAATCGATGTTGTCAATATAAGACACAGTTTATTTAATATACATATATATATTATTTTTCAAATTTTAACACATTTTTGAAGTTATTTTAAACATACTTTTCGTTATTATTTTTTTAAAACGTATTTAAAAAAAAAATTATTTTTTAATTTGTTACTTTTTAATTTTGTAATTAATTTCTTTTTTGTAATTCAGAAAAATTGATTTTTCAATTGAGGGAAATAATTTATAAAATTAAAATTATTTACTTTAACTTCCGTTGACATAGGACATTGTTCACAAATTACGTCACACTCCTAGGCGCGGGGTCAACCTGCCCATGATGAATTGTGGTTAAAAATCAAATTTATAAATATCAAAACGTGACGTAGGGATAGGTCAAAATTGGGTACCAAATAGCGTGACGTAGTTTGTGAACGACCTCGATTTTTCCTTTGGGGTTTTTTTTTACATATCGTCACAAATGAGAGACGTATTTTTTTCTCGATATTTAATTTATATAGTGTAGGTAAAAATTTAAAATATCTATAACTGATATTGTTTTCGAAAAAATCGACAAATATTTACGATAGAAAAAAGTTCTCCTGGGTCAAAATGACCCAATTTGTCAACGGAGGGATAAGTTACTTTTTGTAATCTAAGATAGTTGGAGTAAATTATTTTTTGCGTTTAATTATATTTTCTACTACAAAATTACTTTTTTCACTCATTAAATTTTGTTATATTAAAAAAAAATCTTTTACAATCCAAGGAAATTATTAATTATTTTTTTCATTAACTACTGTACTTAGAAAAATTATTTTTTTTAATTAAATTTTTTCTTCTAAAATTCAAATGTTTTTTCATCTCAATTATATGATCGTGAAACCCAATGTTTCGGTAAAAGTTGATGTCTGTTATGCAAAAAACTTTTGTACCTATTTTGCATTCGTGCAATGCTCGAGGAACTTGAAAAGTGAAGCATAGAAATTGTGTGAGTTTTGTTAAAGATAATTGTGTGTGATGGTAAAAATGAAAATCAGCGGGAAACTCTTTTGCTCAGTTTAAGGATGTCTGTATAGTTCTCTGCGTGAAAGAGCGCAGCATGTAGATGAGAACTTTTCAGAATCAGTTTTCAAGAGAAAAGGCTTGGAATCTGCTGAGAATACGAGGTTCGTATTTACGAGATTCATGTGTATGATATACAGAAATCCCTCCCGGGGTGCTGGAATGAATATATATATATATATACGTATATATATTGTTATATGTTGTCTAGTGTTTTTTGTAGAGACAATCCGTTGAGCTTTTTTGTCTCAAGCTTTTCTGAAAAGCACTTGACATCTGGATGGCCTAAAAACTTTTACTGGATAGAGAGGACGCATGTTTCCCTGAAGGTTTTATTGTTATTTCACGCTGAGTTGAAACTTCGCTTTTCTTTTTTCGTGTCGACATATAGAATAGAGATAAAATCGAAATACGTGTCGTGTTAAATTTACAACAACATTTCGAAGCAAATTAAGTGTACAAAACGCATCTTGAATTTCGATCAAAATTTATGTTTTACAATCTCTTAAATTTCCTCTCCATAAATCAATTATTGATGCAAACTACAAATTTCAATTAGTTAAATATTATTTTAGTCACTTTTCATAAAAAACTAAATTTTAAAGAAAAATTAACCAATTTTTGAATTAAATTATTTAATAACCAAGATTTAATCAAATAATTAATTAATTTTAATTTTTGTCAATATTGGCAATACAATATTTAAATTTTAATATTTTACCACTTTACGTATTGGTAATTTTATGATCAATAAAATTTACTATATTTGGAAGGAAATATAAATTTTAATAAAACTATATATATATATATATATATATACACACTGGAGCGTTGCTTAAGCGGATTATAGGAGCGTTGTCCGCTTAATCGGACAAAGAAAATTTCAAGAAAATTTGAAGAAAATCAGAAGCGTAAATTGTCTTCTCTGTACCTATCTTCCGCCGAGTCCTTTTAAGTGGCGCTTCAGTGTACATAAATTAAAAATTTATTTTGAAAAGTAGTTACAAATATAGTACAATGAATAAAATATTTTCACTTTTAAGTTGAAAATTAAATAAACAATTAAATTTCAAATTGAAAATTTTCCCACTGTAAGTTTTAATTACCAAACAACTATTAAAATTTTTATGAGAGAATTGAATTTAAATGCATTGCTTACAAATGAGAGTAATTAGGTTATGTACAGTTAAAATTATCTGTTGCTGTAAGTAAATTGAATCAAATTGCATTATAATGGGTGATATAATATAATATAATAAATTATAATATAATAAAACAAATAAATAAAAATTATATATAAAATCAGTTTAAAAAATGGAAATAAAATCGGTAAAATTCTGAATGAATTAACGATGTGCTTGAAAACAATTATTTGTCGTTTATACAGAAAAAGTTTCTTTTTTGTTGAAAAGTATGTCACAACGTTTATTTTTAGAAATATGGCAGTTTTTCTAATCAAAAGTTTCTTCATGTGCTTCTGAAATAAGCGCTGAAGATGAAAGTAGTAGAACAATTCTGTATGCATCAGCAAGTGGAGCAATTCTGTACGCACCAGACAAGTGGAACAATTCCGTGCATATCAGACACGTTCTAAAATTTTTCATTTTAACCGTCTTACAGACGATATACATTTGACATTTCAAAAAGCAATTTAGATATATAATAAATAGTTCTTTTAAATAATTACTTTTTTAATGAATTTTATATTTAAAAAAAAATTAAGTTCAGAATTTTTTTTATGTAGGAATTCATTGAATTTGTAAACAAGTAATTAAAAATTAAAATGTTCATCTAAAATAAAGAGAAAATCAATAGATAATTCAAACTGACCGATTGAAAAAAGAATTGAAATTGCTCTCTTCTATGAGATGATCACAAATTCAATAGATCCTTTTGTATCAGAAGATATTCAGACAGTTGTTATTGAATTTCAATGACGTACGTTGTTTGTATTTTTTCATTCAAAAATTTAATGAATGCTGGAGTAATAATCACTCTACAATAGAGTAACAATATGGTATTGAAAGAAACTTATCTTTTCAGTAGCAGTCTATTTAAAAAAAATTGTTTACTTGTCAAAAAAAGCTTTCGTTACATATCTTTAGTTTCTTTTGTTTTCTATGTTTTGGATATATATGAAATTTTTGAAATTTGACAACACTTAAAAACTTATAAAAAGGTTAAGATGGGCATGAAAAAACTTATTGCCAAGTATTTTTTATCTCTTTTTGTTTAAATTATGTAGAAATGGATTTTGTACCGAATGTGACAACCTAGATTATATATAATTATTAGAAAAATATTCTACATATGTAAAATATACCAATCCGAGAAATAAAACAAAACTAGTTAATGGAATAAAATAAAAATACCTAACAGTAAAAGTATTTTCATATATAATGAACATCAGAAATTGATTTCCAATTTGCAATTGCCACTGAAATTTTCATGGTAATAAGCCAAATGCAATTTATAGCTTTTCATTGTTTCAGCAATCCTCTGGTCCGTAGCATTTGAATAAAAAAATTATTCAATTTATAGTACAGAGAACATCAATTATGGACAAATTACTATAATTGGATTTTGCTATGTAATTAACTTCATTTAAAAGCTTATAATAATACAACAAATTTTTAATGTGAAACTATTGTCTAGTTCATTTTACTGTTTTTGAATATCTTGAAAAACAAATCACTAAATTATTAATAAATATATTTATGTTACGTCTCAAATAGAGAAAATAACTAGAGAAATAATATTTTATATTTATTTTTGTCAAGAATATTGATAATTGATATTGATTTTTAATGACAAGATTACAAGTTTATTTAGACAAATATTTAGAGTTATAAAATTGATCTTTAAGAGAGAGTATCCTGAAGCAACCAGTCTTGGAAATAAAGAAAGTCAGCATTCCGCTGTAACAAGGAATGTAAAGGTTACTGCAAATTTTTATAAGAAGTTAGGAAGGATTTAGATAAAAAGTCTTATGACTTATCTTAAAAATTCACAGGAAGGTTGACAGGCCTTGGTGCTGACCACAGATCTGGAGTTCAATTGACCGTGACGAAAACCCAAAAAATTAATTCTTCCAAAAAAAGAAGAAAAGATGATTTCCAAATATTATGACAAAGTCAAAGCCTTGAATACTTTGATGAATTCTTCTTGATGTAGAAACTTTTAACACTTGATTTGGAAATTCTTCTAAGTCGAACTTAAGTATGAAATCGGACAGAGAAAAAGTACTTCTTCCAAATTTTGTATATGAAGATGACGTACTGGTACCAAAATCTGAACTGAACTCTCTTGGCAAATGTGGTCCTTATATATAGAATTTTCACAAAGAGAATAGGCAAGATTTATTGGAATGGGTTGCTTTTTCCACCATATCGATAAAAAGACATCACCAAATAAGAATCATAGGAAAAAGCTCTCTCAACTGAACAATATACAAAAAGCGATTTGACAGATATTATTTTCTAAATGCAAAGAAAACCCGTGTTTGGTGTAGGAGGAACAATGCTCCCCAATCATATAAAAATCTGATCTTATCTAAATTTTATTTTGAACCCTAGGGTAAGCATAATATATTACTTTTGTCAAAGGCGTGAAAAGAAAAAAGAGATAATCCTATTAGGTCATAAATAATTCCCGCCTCGTTTGGTATACTTTTGGAAATACTGAATTTGTTAGGAAATCAGCTTGAATGTATAATTGATTTTAAATAAAACAGATGGCACAAAAAATGTAGTAGAATTGAATTTTTATTTCCAATAAAGGTAACAAGATTTCAACTATTCAATTAATACAAATAAAAACATGAAATTGTTTGAAACACTTCGTGTGTAGTGAAATTCGACATCTCTGATAACTTTAGAAAGCAATTACTGTAAAATTAAAGTTTACGTTTGACTTTTCCTCTAACAGCTTTTGCATTTATCAATTCTCTCAAAACAAATTTCACGCACGACACCACCCAACGCAAGTAATCTCTAATTTTTTAATTCAATTTCATTAAATTTGCTATTTTAATCAGTCTAAAACAGTTCACTTTTTTTATATATATAACAATTCAATTTGAGAATCTAGAAAAGCATTTATTTTCAAATATAATTTGACGACTGTTATTTCGTTAAATTTTGTTTTTCTTTTTAACTTCTTTTATTTTGTAAAATCACCTCTTTCACATTGCAATATTTCTATAAAGTTTAATCGATAATTTAATAAAAAAGTTTCATTAGCGCTATTGCCTTAACTCATAAGTTTCGAAGGTGATTTATTGCTTCAAACATCTTTTTTTTACTGGCTTCTGGAAATCGCTTTATACACTTTTGTGTATAAAGATTTTTCTGCTAAATATTATAAAATTTATTGCATGTTAATTATGACTTTTTATGTTTCATAAATTATTATTAGATCGACATTAATTAGTGTAATTAATTACTGGATAATGAAGTTTTTTTTTTACAAAAGTACAGTTAAGTTTTTTGTTGACCTCACAAACATGTGGTAATGATTTTGATATTATCTATTCATGAATTATTTGAATTATGTGGATAAAGAAAATTTTTATATTTTTTGAATAAATCATTATTTAATAAAAACACAAAATCAGAATTGTAGAGAATCTTTCAAAGAGAAAAAGGAGCTATTGTCTTTATTGAATATACAATATGGCTGACTCAAAATAAATTTGATTCCCCATTACAATTTACAATAGCATAAAAATACATTTTTGTAACCATATTATATAATATATTGTTTCTTAAATAATACTTCAATGCAATCAGTTTTAAAATTTACCTTGAAGTATCTCCTCTATTGGCTTCTTAAAATTCATTTTTTATATCCCTTGGGTATCCGTTTAACTTTCCTGCAGTAAGTTAATAAGTATTTTAGATGTAAAATTGTTCTAGTTTTATTTTTTTATTTATTTTGTTTTCTTTTTTAAAAAAATTCAATTTAAAAGAAAAAACAAGAAAAAAAAGTTTTTTTTTATTTAAAAAACTAATATTGTTAATATGTATATTATTTGTAAAACATTTATTTTTAAATTTTCATAGTCTCAAATTGCTAACATGAATATTTAAATATTTTTCCATAT